TGAAATGTCTTCATACGATATCTTTTGTGTTTTCTGTTGCTGTATTTTATTTTCCTGAGTAGGAAATAGGAATGAATAATCTAGGATACAATTGTTGAAAAATATGAATTTTGCAATAACATCAGAAAGTAACCATGACGATTGGCAGGATAAGCTCAGCAATATTGATGAAATGGCAACCTCATCATTTTTCCTAAGATAAATCCGCAATACAATTCACAGAAGAAACAATTACATGTATTATGTAATAATTTTTTGTATGTGAATATGATGTTATTACGTATACGAGGATACTGCAAAGTATGCACAAAGACATTACAGTGGGAGTATTGACCTCCAAGCAGTGGAGGTTGATGTGACTGCGTACTGTCTGAGTAAAATTACGGCACGCTGTAACTTAAGGCGTTACGATGACAGATGTATAATAATAATAATAATAATTTGTTTTGCATATATTTCAGATTATTTTGTACCAGAGATTCCGTTGATTTGCTGTTTTCAGAAAAACAAATCAATGCAGAACTTGATGCATGGAGAGCACATAAACTACCAATTGTAAATAGGTGAGAATAATAGACTAAGGAATGTATATTCATTGGATGATGATCGTGTAAACTGCTTCTATTTTTACGGGTAGTTTCCGAAATGTTGTCACTTCTTTTGTTTTTGTGAACACGTTATTATATGTTATGATCTGACAGTTCATAAGCTGATATGTTTATAAATCTGTATTACTAAAATGTTGAAAATATGAAAGTATGAATCTATTTTGCTTATAAATAAAGTAATACCTTGATATAATACATGACATTGTATTTACTGGTCAGCACACACTCAAATTCATACTTAATGTATGTAGTATTACGCTGTGTGGGACCCGTATTGAACTCAATGTAGTGTAATGCCACTTTGGCTTTAACCAAACAATTGAAATTTCCAATATTTTATATCTGCAGCTCTGTTTGTCATAACAAACAAAACCCAAGCGAAGAACAGAAACGGTTATATGCAACCATCCTAGAGAGAACTGAATCATTGACATGCAGTGTTGGTATTGGCTGTGATTTAGTGACAGGATCTCACCTCCCAAGCCATTCTGATGTGCATTCATCGTATCTAACAGGCAATCGAATTCAGGTATAGAATTTATTGTACCTAGCTAGGGGGTCTCTAACTGGCAATCAAATTCAGGTATAGAATTTATTGTACTTAGCTAGGGGGTCTATAACTAGCAATAAAATTCAGGTATAGAATTTAGTGTACCTAGCTAGGGGGTCTATAACTGGCAATCAAATTCAGGTATAGAATTTATTGTACCTAGCTAGGGGGTCTATAACTGGCAATCGAATTCAGGTATAGAATTTATTGTACCTAGCTAGGGGTGTATAACTGGCAATCAAATTCAGGTATAGAATTGATTGTACTTGGCTAGGGGGTGTATAACTGGCAATCAAATTCAAGTATAGAATTTATTGTACCTAGCTAGGGGGTCTCTAACTGGCAATCAAATTCAGGTATAGAATTTATTGTACTTAGCTAGGGGGTCTATAACTAGCAATAAAATTCAGGTATAGAATTTAGTGTACCTAGCTAGGGGGTCTATAACTGGCAATCAAATTCAGGTATAGAATTTATTGTACCTAGCTAGGGGGTCTATAACTGGCAATCGAATTCAGGTATAGAATTTATTGTACCTAGCTAGGGGGTCTATAACTAGCAATAAATTTGCAGATATAGAATTTAATATTCCTATCTAATTGGCAAAAGAGTTCAAGTTAATAATTTACTACAGTATATGGCATATTGCATCTAGCTATAGGGTCTATATTTATATGTATTTATTATAGGTCACAGTAAATGTTATGATTGAGAGATTGATTACATGTATCAAACTAGGGATGCCCCATAATTTAATAGAGAGATTTATTACCTAGCTAGGGGATCAAAGAGTGCCGGGAATAATGACCATTTCTTACAGTATATACTTGTTCTATACTCAGTGGCTTTTAGTTTAGCATACTTGATGTCCTACATAAAGATAAAACCTGGTGACTAAAGTCTTGTTTTGTTTTGTTTTTTTCCAGGGCCCGGCGTTTTTCTTGGAAGATGGTAGACAAGCTATATCATTAAACGATGCGCTCATGTGGGCGAAGGTGAACCCATTCTCTCCATTGGGTTCAGGGGCTCTAATCAATCCATTTTAGGTTAAATCAAACCCATCAGGAAATAGTCCAATCTTAATTTCTGTACCAAACCCAGATCATCAGCAATTAAGAAATTGTCTGAACTTTAAATTCAACCATGGTGCCAACAAAATAGCTGGATTCCTTCACTAGAATCTACTGGGGGGGGGGGGGGTTGACATCTGGCAAGTGAAACAAAAGCCCCAAAATCTCAGAGATCCTGTGTGTCCATCCGGCTGTGATTCATATGTTAACGCATGGCGTAAGAGATTCACAGTTAAGTTTCATACAAAATAAATATGATTTGATGATTTTTATTGGCACGGCAACACAATTTAATGCTTAATAACTCAATGACAAATAGCATTTGAAATAAATATATGGAGAAAAGTTGCTGTTTGCTTTTATGTAGTTTCTATGTAGCAAATAGGGTATGTTTCCCAAAAATTATTTACTTTCTTCATTGTATAATTTACATACTATTCAAAAATGAGGCTTTACAATTTTGTGCACCGTATACTCTCATTTTTTTATATATACTCTATACCATCAATTTATTGGCATTGAGGAATATTAACTTTTGTAGGTCCTAAGTACAATGTATGTAAATTCTTTCTATTTGTAACATGTTATCTTTTACAATGTTTTGTAATGTAATTCTATCACACCGTCCAACTATTATTTTTTTTTTATGATCTTTATTTTATTTTTATGATTATTTTCATTTTTCAGACATTTTTCTTATATTGCTATGTAAAAAAAACAGCTTTTTAGATACATGTGCAGTTTTGTGCCCGGTGACTGGCTGTTTTAAAGTTTGAAGAAAAAACTTTGGGTATCAGAACTTGTTTTGATAGATGAAGTTTAATCATGCATTTTCACCAATTTTTAATTCAAAATGGCCACTTGAATAAGAAATCACAATCATTGTTACCATAGGAATGAAGTCAAGTCCTCCCACTTTTTATTTGCTCTTTGCTATTTTCACATTTTTGTTAAATTCTAAAGAAATTATGATCAGTCAACTTCATGCCACCAAATATGATATATGTTGTAGCCATCAGAATGAGCGTGCTTTTAGTGGATCCATTTGTTTCGTCAAATTATTTCAGTACATGTTTATTCAACACATTGAGGGCAGTGTTTAAATGATTTGATGAGAGCAGATTTGATAAAAAAGTGACTATAATTATGTCAATATTGTCATTTATTCATTTCATGCAATATTTATAAGGCCCACAAGTTCAAATCTCTTTGTCAACCAATATGCACATGTATAAAAAATGTTCTTTGAATGCAAAAAAAGAACATTAAATTTATCTGCATTCTGTGAGAACTTGAGATCACTTTCTATTGCTCAGGCATTAGTATAAGACAAACTATGGAATTTGCCATATCTTTACAAATCGATTGGTTCTCCCCCTCCTTTTTTTGAGTCATGCAACATAGTACATGTTTAGTACTTTAAAATAGTATGTACACTTGGTTTTATCGCAACTATGAGTCTCTGACCTGATTTGTGTTTGTCATGAAACACTTATAACAGAATACCGCGATACCGATAGTTGTTTTAACTTAGTCCAAACACTTATAATGATGCGTTTCTGCAGAAGTCCAAACCTTGTAGATATAAATATATGTCAATGTATTTTAAAGAAAATTAAAAGAATTAAATTATGAATATTGATTATATTTATACAATCTTGTCCTTGGTGTGTTTTTTTAGCAAATCCAGTGTGCTCAATAACTCATCAAAGCTTGCTTGCTTGTACAAGATGCACTTTGAATCATAAATCTGTATTTCACATTTTACACAAATTCTCCTTCAAATTAAATATGTATTTATAAATTTTATTTATTCATTCAAATGTAAAATATACACACAAGAGACATCAAGTCAAATAAAGTTGAATGACTTTCACAACTTCTAGTTCCATCAAAAAATAGATTTTACAAACATAAACAAATATGACAGTACAAATGTACATTGAATATTTCATGAGATTACTCAACAGCTGATAATGCGCTATATACAATAAATACTTTATCTGTTTAAATCAAACATTCTGACAACCACAATATTTGGATCCATATTTATTGTGATTAAACTGAAATGTACAAGCTTTCATGCTGGGTTGCTTGGAGAAGAGAATTGCAGCACTGCCTCAGATGTTTTTTTTTTTTATTCTTTTGTTTTTATGTAAATATTTTGTTAATATCCTTCAAGAGCTGGTCTTGATTCACGTGAACTTGAAGCCGATAATCTCATTGAATGTTGTGAATTCTGATCGAGTTGTTTGACATTGATTTCTTTGAACTGTACCATACTATGTTCCCTGCTTGGTGGTTCGCTAACTCTGGCTTCTGTAAAAGAAGAGAAGATCTATGTATTAAAGTATTGCTGCAGTTGAGTGATATACAAGTTATTACCCATAACATTAGTGGGTGAGTGTACTTTGTTCTGCATTTCTCATTGCCTTGTCAACCCTTGGGTTAATGCTACGGATTTAACAAATAACACCCTCTATTGATGTCCGCAGACATTCTCAAACTACATACTAGTACACGTACAGAAATTGACAAGACCATACATTATTGTAAATCATATTGTTTTTGGCGCAATCGTTTTTTGCGATTTGATAAAACATTTGTGAAGATAAAATTTTACAGAAGTCTTGGTGACTTGTCGTTTTAAAGATCACAAAATGTTTTTACTTCTATGAAATTTTGCGGTAATCCTCGATTCACAAGCAAGATGCATGAACA